TGGGCTCGAGCTTGAAGTCGTCGAGTGAGTGAGTGAGTGAGTCAAGTAAGGAACCGTAGGGTGTACACTTCAATCCACAACTCATCCCACTGACTTCCTTACGTCTCTCTGAGTCACTCTGTGGAGCAACGATTCTCCCTTTGAGGCCTCCGGAGCGGAAGCGAGTCCCTCTCCGGACTGGAATCCTCGCTTCGTCCGTGATCTGATTGAACGAGATGCGGGGAGACATGAGTATCCGCCGCAACGTTTGATTAGAATATACGTGCAACGTATTTTTCTCCGCATGAGAGAGATGCGCGACGATGTATGATTTCCTTCTGATGGATGAAGTTCGAGGAATCATCAACGATCTCTGGCCTCTTTCAACGAAAGCTGCGGTCGCCGTCTGGAGCTGAGCTCTTGGCACCGTATTGCAACCCCAGTCTGTCATAAGCCGGTCGCCTACATTGAAAATCCATTTCCTAGCTAGGGAAGCTTTCGGCTATTCTTTGTTTGATATATTGGGGTTCTCCGCTGACGCTCGCCCGCTCGCTAGCTTGGAACTTGCGATCGAGAGGAACAACGCCGCAGCCGAGCCACCCCATCAAACGAAGCGAGGACGACCGTTCGACCGAAAATATACTTTTTTTTGCGTCAGTTTCCCCGTCTCCTGCATCCAGTAATGATTGTGGATGAGGGAGCGGACCTCTGGAAGCAGAGCGTCAGAATCTGGCATTCCAGGGCTGATTCGTTCGCCGGGAGAACGAACGAGGGCCCCTGCGAATTAAAACAGGTTATCAGCCGCAGCATCGCATTGCCTCATCAGCGCACACCGAATGCAGCCCACTCCTTATCGGGCGGTATTTCGAATGAGGAGGCGCTCCGAAAACCGAGAGTCAGGGACAGGCTGGAGAGCTGCTCCGCCAGAACGCTCAGTCCGAGAGCGATGTTGAAGCAACTGTTGGGCTCCCACGGATGATTGAATGAATCAACCATTGGGTACACAGACAGATACGTGCATGGAGCATGGGAACAGGAGTTGGATTCGTTGATTTCGACACCACCCGGCCCTAACGCGTGGTTTGCCGCTCGAGCATAGCTTTTCCCCGACCAGTGCGGCCAGCTGTGGTTGATTCCCTTATCAGATAACTGAACAAACCCTCGTCTCGAAACAGCGCGCCTCCTTTGGCGGTGAAGAGTGTTCGCTCAACGAGGGTATTTCTTTTTATCAAAGCCGGTCCGGATGCTAGTTCAAACCCCTGAGATTGCGTCGGAAACTCAAGGAAAGCTGTTCAAGCTCTACCACCAGGGAGAATTTCGGGTTGAGCTCGGGAGATGAAACTTGGACTGCTGGGAGTCGCACGAATTCTTTCGAGCGTGAGTCTTGCATATCATGGGTTCCTCGCTCGAGCTGGGAGCTAGAATTATCGATCGTGTAGAGCGAGGAACGGCATAAATGCGATGCAATGTGCTGTAGCCAGTCAGACGACCGAATCGTCTGACTGAAATCCCGATGAATTCATTCCGTCCCTCGTTCTGGTTACAGCCATTGATATTCATGCTCTGGTATTCCATGCTCCGGTTAGGAACCCATGATATTCAATGATTTTACAGATAGCTTGATCAGAAGGCCAGTATTGGTGGGAGTGCCGAGCTCGGAGAGTCGAGGAGGGAATAAACGTAGTCGCCGCGACTCCGACGTTCATCCTCTCCTCGCCTCGGTCAGGCACCGGTGTGCAGCGTGTCAGCGGATGAGTCGTGGCCGAATTCAGTGAGCTCGCCGTTCGAGGAGAGAATCAAGGGAAGGTGGGTACTTCTCCTCTTGTTGTTGCAGCAGCAGCCCTTGCTGGTGCACAATTCGTCTAGAAGCAGCTCCCTCGGTCGGCTGGCTGGACGGACGGCTGTTGATATTGGACCCCCGGCACATCGTCTACTTCCTTCTCGGCTTTATATGAAATCCAATGTTGACTGCTGCGGCACTGACATTAGTGGCTACACGCTAGTATTGCTGCGGCCGAGGACCAACCCGTTGTTATTTCACGGGTGCTCGGTGTTTTATCGCGGTAGGTTTGTAATGCTTTTGTGCGGATCGCCTTTGAGGAAAAAATATAAAAGCCAGCGGGACCAGCAGGGCAAGGCGTCGACGGCAACGACCGGAAATACGAAATGTCGGGGAACTCATCGAAGGAATCGACTATCGACTCGGCGTCAATGACCGAGAGGAAACAATCCATACGCTTATAGGCACGGTGGTCAACGGACAACGGTCTTGATGAACGGTGCCTATAAGCGTATGGACCACCGTGCCGGAAGATTTTGCATCCAGTTTCTTCTTCTCGTTGACGATAGACCAGAGCACCCCGTGGACTCCCTCAGATTTATTCCCACCTCTTGAACAATTATTTTCAGAGGCTGGGGAGGAAGAAACATTTTTGCGAATGTCACGATGAGTGTATAAAGCATTGAACTGACGCAGATCAAGCAGAGCAATCTATTGTTCAGAGAGTGCGAGAAATGCTACGAGCATTCAAGCCCACAACTGGCTCGTGGCGCGGAGGCTTAATAGAGTTAATGGGCAGAGGTTTCTCCCTCCACGAGGTGAGTGATAGTCGGCGAGCGAATGATAGTGCGAGGCGGCGAGCGAATAGCGGACTCGGCTCCATAGAGAAGTTTTGTAATGGCAAAAAGAGATCGCGAGGTCCGGGGGAGGAGCATCAAAAAGCGCGAAGGACAGGAATGGAGTACGAGAGTTTCTTGCCGCCGCCACAGTTTGATTAAGGCTTGGACGGACAGAGAGAGCCGTGAGGCAGGATGATGGTTCGTCGAGTGAGTCGACCGGAAAAGTGTCTGAGGTGGGGTGAAGCGCGGGCAAACGCACCGCAAATCGACGCTCGGGACTCCCTCGAGGTTCAGCGAGACTCCGCGGGCGAAATCTACGAGGTTGATTGCTTCGCTTCAGAACGAGCTACACTGAACGACGCGACAGGGACGATGAAGAGACAGTGCAACTCTCCGCAGATGGGGGAAGCAGACTCCTTGAGAAGGGGTGAGCAACCGGCAGATCCGGTGACGGTTTCTTCAGGACCGGAGCTCTCGAGCTCTCCTCCGCTGCTCTTCACAAAATTCATTTTTCCCCGCTGCTCGGAGGTATTCGGAGCTACGAGCCAAGACCATGATAACATGCAAATCAGGACAAGGTTTCATGTAGGGACCGTACAAATGGTAGGCGTAATAAATAAATTTATTAACTCATTTCTGTCCTTGTTGACGCTTTCATCACTTGCACGAAACTTGACAAGCTATTTACAACTACTCATCATGAGTTTCCTCCTCCGAATCCAGCTAGTCTTCGCGAGGGTGCGCTCCTGGCGTCATACAGGAACGATTCCTCCGTCTTGGGGGGCGAACCCATCCGTGGTCGAGCTGAGAGGAATCTGGGTTTTTCCATGCTCTTCCGTCAGAAACATTGTCGTATAACATTCCATGTTCTTTCGCGAGCTTAATTAAAGTTCTTCGATGAGGGCTGAATTTCCATCAGGCTCTGTTTTCTTTTCGTGGAACACAATCGAAATAAATTACCAAACGCCGTAGAATCCCGTCTAGACTTGACCCTAGTCACGGACAACATCCCTCTTGGAACTCCTCTGATCCCGAGTTCACTCTGATCGTTTGACTGACGCAAGAGAGCCGTATGAACAACTCGGCTCGATGTCATCATGCTTCGAATCAGTCTCGTGACTCGTGACCCGGTCCATGAAGAATTACGAATGAATTAAATTATGAATGAACAGATTCAACAAAGTAAATTCAAATACATTAGGAAAAGATGATACGTTCGGTTTCGCGACGTGGTATGTACAGGAAACGATCGATGATGCTTCGGAGAAACTCTCGTCACACGCGCTCCGGTTCTCGCGGAGAAGAAAGTATTGAAAAATACGGCAGTGGCCACACCCATATTGGAGGACGCTTTGGTATAGAAGTTGAGGCTGACTTTGTTAGTGTTGTTCTTCATTTTCCATCGGATATAAGAGTTTGTTCAGGCATTGAATAGTATTCATAAAATATGGCTACTCGACACTCACTTGTAGAAAAATGCAAAACCTCATTTCTACGGGTTCAAATTTTCTTACCCCGGAAGAGTATCCGGTATCGCTCGATTCAGCCAAGCTGCCTCTCTGTCGACGAAATCCGCCCCTCGTTGCTGCCCTCTCATGTGACAGACCAAGTAGTCTAAACGGAATGAGAATTGATCTTTTGCCTTGGAAGCTTGAAGGCGTCACGAATTCCTGTGCGACTCATGTGGCGCGATTTCTTCGGATCGCATCCGAGAAGTCTCTTCCCGAACACAAAAAAAAGCTTCAGCGTCTGCGAGCGGTGTTTGCGAACCGTCGCATTGCGAGTCCGAGCAAAAGGGAACTGCATGATCATGAACAGGCCGGAGAGGAGCCTTCTTTTTTCGCGTGCGGCAGTTTGATTCACCGATTTTCACTCAACGCTCCTGAATCTGAGTTTCTTTTCCGTCCTCCCGTATCGCAAAGAGATGTAATCATGACAGTCTCGATGAACCTTCCGTCCCCGTCTAGGACGCCACATAACATTCTCATCGAGAATTCCACGCTGCGGACGGCTGTCATCGATCGGCTGCGTCGGCTGAACTCCTATACGTGGATTCCTCTTGACTTCTCATCGTCAATCAGACATGAACTCCAATATGAAGTACGGGAACTTTCTGACTGAGTCCAACATAATTGAGTGATGATTCAGCTAGTAAAACAGTTGGAAAGTGTTTGTTGGAACGAAAGAACAAATGCAACTCCCTCCTCAGCAAGCTAACCCACGACTCACGACGACTTTTTACAGTTGCGGTTTTCATCCTCGCTAACCGCGGCACAACTTAGGCTTGCCAGCTCGGGAACCGATCCAGACACTACAGTCGATTCCCGAAGCGTTTAGTAAGGTTTCCTGCTCTTCTTGTGACCGATTTTTACAGTGTGGCAATAAAACCTCGAAACTATCGTCACCATCGTTACTAGAGATCATCCTCATCGTTATCAGCACGATCTCTATCCACTTTTGTGTCTCATTCATAAACATATGTAGCTCCGTAGTGATTGATCGGTGCTACTTCCGCAATCTAAGACGCCAAAGGCGACCGAGCGTTCCACTCGCTGTTCTGCGGAAGCGGAGGCATTGCCGGGGGTTTGGGGAAGTTTGGCATCGATGGCAACGACGGAACCGTCGGTGGCAGAATACGTGTCGCACCTCCGATATAATCAGGATGCTCCGAGAATGACGTCAATCTCATCGGAGGACGTCTACCTTGCAGATCGCAGACATTTGACGCATTCCGTCGGATGACTAGGCTGTTCGTGCCGTCACCGTAGCCGTTGTGGAAACCGTTGCCCAACGTTGCCCGTTGCAACGACATGCTCTTCCAGTTGTGGACCGAGCCCGACCGTTGGTGTATCGTGGCCGTCGGAGGAGCTGAGATCTGGTTTTGAACTTCGACTAAGAGCTGCTCCAGTGATGATGTACGTTTGAGCTGCTCACTGCAAGCTGAGTGAACACCCGAACTGTTCGAGTCGTTGGAGCTGCCACCCTTCTCGGGGCTTGTCGAAGTGTCGCTGACGCAATCCGATCTGTGGACCAAGAGGAGCCGACTCAGAAAATCAGAGATCTTAAGAGGATACAGAAACTCTTCTGAACGAAAGCGGGAAGCTCCAGGTCGGTCGGCGAAAGACCGATGAATCAAGCAGAGACTTCGCTTCGTAACGTACCTCGGCGTCAGCTGCACAGGACTCAGAGTCCCGTTCTGTTGAGTCAGAATCCCTCGGAGCTGCGGATTCTGCGTGTCGATCATGAGAGGGTCGAAGCCGCCGTTGTTCTGCGCGAGAAGTTTGTTAGCTCCATTCTCGTCCGTCAGTGGACAAAGCGACTGTAATCACAACAAGAGACACACAAACACGATTACAACACGAACGTGCTCATCTCGCTCACGCGGCAAACCGAAAAGTGCGCTTCGAATCGAATCCGGTGGGGAATAAGAGAGAGAAAGCATAAGAACGGGAAGGACGAATCGTCGAGGAGATCAAACATCGAGGAGTTCAATTACCTTGTAGAATTGATTGCTGTTGTCCCGCCGTAGGGATGGGGAATTCTTGAGGGTGCCGTAGTCGGTCCCGTTGCTGAAATCCTCGGGTAACTGCGCAGGCGGTTTTTTCCCTCTTTTCGGGCTCTTTCCCGCTGCAGCACGTGCCTTGCTCGGGCTGGTCGACGTATCGAATGTTACTCGAGGTTTTGAAGGAGGCGGGGTCGCGATGGCAACCTGGCCATTAGCCAGTGGTGAGCCCTGGTACGACTTCGGTTTCTGCGACCTCAGCCAAGAAAGGCTATTCGGTTGTTCTCCTTCTTTGATTGAAGGCATCCTGTCAAGAGGGAGTCACTATTAGAATATCACCCGGCTGCACAGAAAAGCATGGCAACAAAAGACGGAAAAACTGAGGCATGGAAAAAAAAATTGCCCTCGAAGGGAGTTCATTGATCGTGGAAAAAATTCTCCTTTCCGGTCAGTACGGGAGAGATATCTTCATCTACTCCAGGAGTCTGGCAGCTGCATGTAGGCTCGCAAACTCACCTCGGCTTGAGCCAGTAGATATCCTCGTCTTCGGAGGGATGAGGTAATTTTTGAACCTGCTGCTGGCGGGATGCAAGTCCGAGAATAGCTTTCTTCGATGAAATCTCGTTGACCCGATAAGTTTGGCCGTTGTCCACGACCAGCAGTGGATGATCGGGTCCATCGGCGATTTTCAGCAGCGGAGTGTAGTTGTACTGACTCTGGCTTTGTTGAAGTCCCGACGACGAGAAGCTCATGGGGTGCTCGGAGAGCGGTCCATTTTCAGCGCAGAAGTCCCAGTCGTGCTTCACAGTGAAAAGAAGCCACAAGAGAATCCACAGAACTATGTGTAGGGCCATTCCGCAGATTGTAACGAGAACTACGCCGTCCAAGCTGGCCTGGTAGACCTTAACCAGATCGTGGACGATGGGCGCTCCAGTGAGAACAAGACCGACCAGTACTAACAACGAGTAAACATGGGGGCCGTGGCCGTAAAACGTGATTCCCCCGGCCTGAGCGCCTTGCCAGGTAATGTGGTGTTTGAGAGCTGTCCTGGACTTCCATTCGGAGTACTTCAGCAGTCCATACGAGTAGACGAGAGAACCAGAGAGGGTGATCAGAATGGTATAGGAGAAGAAGAGCGCCGCTGTCGAAGGCACATTGAGAAGAAGTGGTCCAAAACGATGCAGTAGATCCCGCTGACCCACGATGTGGACGCCGTGTAGGATGCCCACCGACGTGAACACCAGTAGCTTGAGGCATACCATGGTCACGACGAGATACAGCGAGAACAAGAGCGAGAAACACTTGTTACGTTTCCAGAAGACAGCCGGATACCTCAGCGAGTAAAGAAGGAGTGCCAAAGCGTAGTTTATGAACTCGGCCGAGATGTGACCCGTCACATCGAGGTGGTTTATGGCGGGACGCGTGCCCTCCTGCGTATCACGCTCCCAGAGTTCTGTCTCGTTTACTGTGGGCAAGAAGTGGATGGGAACCAGTCGCTCCCTATGCGGAATCAGGAAATCCATGTCGGTGTGCCAGACATCGCTGCGTTTAAGAAATCCGTGGCGTATGAGGCGAGCGTGCATGATCACCTTGGGCACGAGCAAACAGAATGCCGACCAAAGGTGCAACGTGGGAGACGTTGGCCCACCGTGTCGCCAAGCGGCCTTGAACCAGCGTTTCAAAGCTCCTCCGCACATTCCTGGCTTGCGTCGGGCTCTCCGAGGGAGATTTTCGTAGAGAGCAGATGGGTCGGGTGCAGGAGTGGCTTCATCGACTTCGCCTCCGACTGTGGCCGCATCGTTGGACATGTTGCCAACCTGCAGAACGGCCGACGCTACAAAGAACGGTAACAGCACAACGCCTGAAAAAGGAACGATGCACAGGGAGCTTAGTCGATGGTCCGTGGGGGAAGGTTCCCAAACACAAAAAAAAAACATTAGCGTCGCTCCTGCGGGGTGACGATTTTTTCCAGTGGGGTCTATGTAAATGTTTTTTTTCCTCCTCTTCACTCACCAGCGCCGATGCATGCGACGTACGCATTCAGCTCGATGTACGGTTGGTCCCTCGAAGGCCAGGGTAGGGACATGTACCGGGTGAACCGTTGCACACTGCCGGCGATAACATAGATCGACAGCGCCAGCCCAGCGGTGCAGTACCACACATTAGACAACGTGTTGAGATGAGGTTCCCGGCATACCGGGAACCCATGTCTACGGGGAGCATCGGCCATATTACCTCTACTTGTTCATGTGTGGAATCTGAAAACAGACATACGGACGAATTACGACACAGCAATCAACTCGACTCCCCGACGGAGGTCAAGCGTTCCACTCGTGCTCATCCCAACGCCGGCGCTGTCCATTCCTATGCATTCACCCCTCGCAGGGGTACGCTCGCTCACAGGGACAGCTTGCTCCGTCATGTCTCCCTGGCGCCAAAGTCCCTGGTGTGAGTCCCCCGTCGACGTGCCCTCCGAGCCCGTGGCCCGCGTACCGTGTTCGATGGCGCAGTTCGAACCGTTCCCAGCCATGCCAGTCGGTACCCACTGCGTAGAGCAACAGTATTCGAATAATTCCGCGATACCGGCGCTCCTCGCCCTCCCGAATGATAGGCTCTTTTCGGTGCTTGTATTGGTCGCAATTCCCTTCAATCCCGATCCAAAAATAGTGGATTCCTATTTATTGACCATCGAATGGATTCGACAGATGCTCCGTCGTGAGACGGCCGGCTCGCCAACGAGTCGTCTGTTCGACGTTTGATATTATATCTGATGAGGCATCCCGCAGAGGAGACATTATCACGTAATTGAGCGCTGATGGGATAGCTCACACACACACAACTAATATATGGAAATATAGAACAGACGAGCTTCTCTCTGGCGATCGGTTGTCGGAGTAATGGTCGCTGCACCCACAGAGTTCCCTAATGGCAGGTTTCGGACAATATCGGCGGACCGGCCCGTGCTTGTTTAAGCCAAGCTTGTGTTTTCCCAAAGCGCGTCGTGCACGTAAAAATGCCATCCGACTGTAGGCGCGCACGCTGCGCAAGCCTGGGTGTTGGGATTAAGTGCAGCGAACCGAGATGTGATGATTCGGGAATATGTGAGAGGAAGGAACAGGAGTGGCAAGGCGCGACTCGCGTTCCCTGAATCCCAGTCGATCCGTTCCGGTGGGCCACGTAACTCGCTCCTATGGGAAACGGGGCAAGCTGCAGACTGACTGCGGCGAATCACTTCGAATAGGCAAAACTTCATAATCAGCGTAGCGTGACCCCTCGGCATGCCGACTGTACGGACTTGCCGGAGGGAAGGGCCTACAGCGTTGCTCTAACTCGGCCACCAAGTCAGTCAGAAAACCGGCCGAGCGACCACCGACTCGGCTTCATTAGAACAAATGGACTTCAAGCCGAACATTGCTGCCAACGCAAGTGGAAACGGAAAAAAACATGAACGTTCTCCCGGCTCGTTTTTCGCCGTATATAGAGCTTCCCCCCTTCTCCTCCCGATGGAACGAGCGGGGCAGCGAACCTCTGGAGGAAATGAAAGCGGTGAGGAAGAACCGAAACCCAGAAGCCCAGGAACTTTCTCAAAACCCGTTCTTCCGTGACGCGGGCGTCACGGTTTCCAACATTTCGATCGCAAGCTCCTGATGAACCAGCGATCAACTCAGAGCTGTTCTAGCGCACAAGCTCCCATGATATTTTGGAGGAGTTCTCGGATCGCGCTATTTTCCGGGCAGAGCGCGTCCCGTTCGACGTCCTTTGCTCGGGAGGAAGTCCAATTAGAGAACAGGCGTATGCTGGTCGCGAGTTGGCAAACGAGGAACTTCAGGACTCGTTAGAATGGTTGATTTAGGCAATAAATATCCCGAAAGCACTGACAAAGGAGGGAATGCTGCAGCCGCCCGCCTAAGTTTGGATATTACAAAAAACTCCAGCTCAAGCCTAATTCCCGCAGTCGGTCATGGAGCAGCTGTTGCTGATTTACGTTCACGCTCGGTAGGAGAAGGGATAACTATGTGAAAAACAACGTCATGCGACCGTCTCTGACAGCGTTCCATGGGATCCGGGAGACGACCTGCACTTGAATCACGCTTTTTCTTCCCGGCTCCATTGTCTTTCCACGCTTCATCTCTGTGGATTTATCTGCGCAACGTCTTCGTCAACCGTCTTCGCCGTCTACTTCCCCCTCCCTCGGTTGCGGCGAGTTTCCCGAGAGCTCTTTGCGGAAAGTCGTGAAAAATTCATGCGGTGTCACTCGGAGACTTTCCCGGAAGCAGTCGACTTCCCCACAGAGATCGGGATTCGAAGTACGTGCTGCCACTTGGTTGACGGAGTGCCTTGTTGCTCTCGCAGACTACATCGGTTCCGCCCAGGTGTCATAGACCTGCACGTAATGGCTTGTCCTTCTGAATCGTCGCTTCGGCGGACCCCGCATCTCAGTCATAAAGCTTGGGTGATTATCAAGTTTGTTCGGAGTAAGGATCGTTAGCGATGCGTTTAAATCCCCGCGTCATTCTTCAAAACACGGGTCTGGAGCTCGTTCGCTTACTTGCTTGCTGGGCCGGTCGATCGCTTCGCTCGGTTTTCCCGTCCAGGAGCCCCACCCACCGACGACGGGGCGACCGACCGAAATTCCCCACCATCATGGGGCGACCAACCGACCGGGTGGGCGAGCGAGTCGTCGGCCGAGCACCGACCCAACTGGTTCGGGGCAAGCCCAGTCGGCGGCGAGGTGGCATCGTGTTTTTGCCCTAGGAGGGATTAGGCTAAATTGTGGAGAACAAGATGTCGACAAGGGACGTGATTCCGGGAGCGATGTTCGATGGCCATCAGTCCCCCGAGGAAGCGAGTGCTTTCTTCGTTCCTTCCCCTGTCGTATGGCTTTAGTAGTCATTGTGTTGCCAGCTCTGATCAAGGAACAAACGCTCGCTCATTTTTGCCTTTGTCGTCGGGTCGGCTTCCCTTTTTCTTGCGGAGAATGTCGGCTCCGGCTCGTTTCGCGGCGGCGAGGATTGATGCAATTAGCCGAAACCACGATGTATGGATGTGCGGTGCATACATTCGCAGTCAATTCAGCCAGAATTATGCGCTGCCAGCGTTCGAGATGACATGGTAACAAATTGTTCTTCATCGTGTCCCGTTCCGTTCGACTCTGCCGGGAGAGCAGGCAGCCAGCCCAGCACGGAGGGAGACCAACATTATCAATCAAACTTATCAAAGCTTACCGCATGCTGGAGGAAGATGGCATGCCGCTTAATTAAACTGAGACTCTCCCGTGTTGTCATTTGTTCGTTCGTTCGTTCGTTCGCCTGTTTGGCAGTAGGACACGGAGCAGAGAGCGGCAACGCAGACGGGCCGCTACCAAAAGCTCCTCGATCGACGGGGATACGGAGTCAGTCGGAAATGTCCGGAGCTTCGCTTTCCTCCCGTACATACCATCTCGAAGCGAATTAATATTTTTCTTCATCGGGGTGCACCATGTAATCTAACGCGTTCCTTCCTCAAAACGGATCCCGACCGCTTAACCCATCGGCGTCGATCGCAACGGGATTTGGAGCTTCCCGCGGAACGGATTCATCCCATTGCCTGCCTATATCCATCCGGTGTCGCACACGCTATTACGTAACGCTCTACGAGTTTCTTTGGATCGACGGCGCGCTCCGAACCGATCCGAGCACGCCGCTGAAAATCGCATTGCGCAAGAAACGCGTAGTCACGCTAGACCGTATCCTACTACGAAACCTTCAGCCTACTCATCAGCCTGAAAGAGTTTCCCCGATTTGCGGTCCTGTGTCCTGTACTCTGTGTGCACACTCAATCGGAGGCGATACTCATTGGAAGTTCAACGGATTCAGACGTCGCGCTGAAGGACTTCGTCGCCAAGGAGCGCGAACACTCGAACGATCGCGGAGCTCGGCGCTTCCTGTCCTGAATTCGAGGCAGGATGTCCGGGCGGCGGTCGCAAAAACCCGTTCTGATGTTTGACAGAGGCCACTGCGCACATTTGACACCGCGCGACTCGAGAAATCAGACACGGAGACGAATTCACGGGAACGGAGCGAGCCTCGCGTTGAAAATTGAATAATGATCCCGGGAAATCACCAACAGAAAGCAACCATGGAAGGCAACAAATCAAACAGGAGTGACGAGCGCACACGCAGGCTAACTCAACTAATCCTCCATGACTAGGGTTCCCGGCTCTGATTCGTGCGCACGGCAACTTCCAACCGGAGGCCGGTAGCCGTCGATGGAAACTTTCGCAGCAGACTCGAGTGCCGATTGTACGTCGGCTATAGTCGGAAACGGATTATGTAAATCGAGAGCATCGAACAACTTGAGGCTGGCTGAAGCGAGCGTGCAGCTTTCAATTTTTCAGCCTCTCTCCCGGTCGCCCTATTCCTCTATCTCCCACTGGTTCGGTCCGCGCTCTCCAGATGTCCCCAACACAATGCCAATAGAAATGCAGATTTCACTCAGCGAGATTAGCAAAAGGCTCGAGTGAACGCCGAGGCAAGTAAGTAAGCCAGTCAGGCAGGCAACGATCGGAGGACTCCTCCACAAACAGCGCCCGCCGCCTCGAACAACTTCACGGAGCTGCTTCACAGGCGGAGCTTTTTTCTCTCGTTTTATCCCTCACTTACTCTGCTGCGCCGACGGGGAAGAGGAGATGACTCACTACGGAGCGCAGGGAAGCTGCCGCCGCCGCAGCGGCAGCCGCCGACCTGGGGGATGGGTCAAGGGAAACTCTCATCGATCGCCTGCCTGCCTGCCTGTCTGCTTGGTGGCCTGTGTGACACACGACGATTTCGAAACGAAATCTAGAGATGAGATAATCGAGATAAGCGTGCGACAACGAGCCCGCAGAAGTACGAAAATTTTCCGAAGGTCTCGAGTCCATCCACCGAATTCCCTAGTCGCTCGTTCGAAATCGCCGAACGGGGCGCTGGCTCGTTTCGTTGTCTCTGAAGGGCCGGACGGTTTCGCTGGGCGACCGTTCCCAAGGTGGGCTCTTCCCAGACACGAAACCACCACAACCATTGCCCCCATGGCGAGAATAGCAGCAATAACACCCCGGTCTTTCGGGCGAGGATGAAGCCGCCGCTAAGACAGGGAAAAGATATTAACGTAGGAAGACGCCAAATGTCTGTAATTGCAGCGAGCCCAGAGGTGTGGAGTGATTTCCGCAAGGAATTCCTCCTTCCGCCTTCTGTGAGTCTTCACTTCGAATGG